TTAAAAAAATATATTTTGTAGAGACAAGGTCTTGCTATCTTGCCCAGGCTGGTCTCAAATTCCTGAACTTGAGTGATCCCCAGCCTTGGCCTCCCAAAGTGCTGGGATTATAGGTGTGAGCCACCATGCTTGGCCTGTTTATGTTTTGAGCAGTGTTTCCAGGTGTCTCCAGCAACTCTGCTGTTGAATATTAGTCTCTGCTGCTAGGTGCCTAGAAGAGAATGAGGCTCAGGGAGACTGCTTGGGAGAACTGGAGTCTGGGCGTGTGACCACAGCTGGGGCGTTGGAGGATGACAGCCAGCAAACGGCAAAGCCTCCCTTCCATGCTGCCGCATTTATGGCAGGCGAGGATGTGCAGCGCCTTCTCCAGCTAGAGTGGATTGCCAGGCCAGCTCTCCTCAGGAAGGGTCTGCAGGGTGAGGTCCTCTAGCAGGAATGATCAGAGGGATGCTCTCCTCCCCACGGGGCGGGAGCAGAAATCTCATGCAGCCCTGGGTCATGCACTTCTGCTCCTTGCGGCCACTTCTGGTGTCTTTGCTGAAAGCTCTCATGCCTGCACTTTGACAGTACCCTTGGCCCTTTCCACCAAAGTAATTGTCAGTGTCCATTTAGACAGAGTAGGGCCCGAGTACTGAGCCCTAGACACATCAAGGGATGGAGGATGAGCTGGCCCATCCCCTCTTCCCCAGCTTGGGGTCTCTCAGGCCTCCTGCAGCTCCCTTTTTTGTGTTATTTGGCTGTATTTCAGTCTGCTCCCTCTCACCTGCAGTGGGGGTGAGAGAGACAGACAAACCTTGGACACACTTATATTTCTGCACCTGAAAAAGTCTCTTTACAGCCCTAAAGACATGGGGTTTGCCTCCTTTGGTAGGGGTGGAGGTAAGGAAAAGGTAGGGTGGCCATCCAGGCAGCGTGAGAAATTGAACTAAAATGGCTGGAAAACAAAGCAGATCACAGTTCCCCTCCCTTGTATATGGAAGTGCCAGGCACTTGTGTGCACGCATGAATTCTCTGGCCACTGGAGGTCACTGTCCCACTGAATCTGCCCAGCAGCTGTGCCTCCTAGGCCTGAGGGCCCATCCCTCAGCCCCACCTCCTCTGAGTGAGCAGTGTCCCTGTCCAGTCTTGGGGGCAGGCTTGGCCAGAGTGGCCTTAGACACTGGCTACAGTCACTGGTGGCCAGACGTACAGCAGAGCATTGCTCAACAAATAGGAGTGGGAGAAGATGATGAAAATTATGTGTGAGTGGTCATCCCTCCGTTTGTTCACTCATCCATTTAAGAAATGTTTATCAAACACCTTCCAGGTATTGGAGGAAACAGCACTGACAAACCAGATGAAAACTTTGTGGAGCTTACATTCTGGTCGGGGGAGACCAACGATAACATAAGTAAATACCTGTTAGAAGGTGACTGTGGAAAAACAGAAAGGTGAGGGGCCTAAGAAGAGCTGGGTTGCAGAGTGGGTTGCAACTTAAAGTCAGGAGGGCCTGCCTGAGAAGGACGAAACAGAACACGGAAAGGGCAAAGAAGAACGTGAGCAGATCAGCTGTTCTAGGTTTTTCCATAAACAGGACATCCTTGTCATCTCAGGTACCCAGTACATTCTGTGTGCAGGCTGGTTTGTTTTGTTTTGGGCGGTTTTATTTTTGAGACAGGGTCTTGCTCTGTTAACCCAGGCTAGAGTCCAGTGGCATAGCTCACTGCAGCCTTGAACTCCTGGCCTCAAGCCATCCTCCCACCTTGGCCTTCCAAAGTGCAGGGATTACAGGTGTGAGCCACTTTGCCTGGCCTGGCTGGGTGTTTGGGGGTCCTCCAGCACCTTTCCCAGTGTGGCTGGAGTTACCCCGTCAGTATCTTGGCCCTCCTCTCCTCACACTCACCTCCAGGAGTTGACCCGATGCCTGCCTGTGGGCAGTCTCTGGGGCTGTGGGTCGGGTAGCCCAGAGCTGCTGAGGTTGAGTGTTGCAGTAATTCTGATCAGGGCAGGGAAGACACCCTGGTGTGTTGCCATGGGAGTACAATCTCTAAATCCTACATCTCTGGCCCAGCCTTGATTCCAGATTGAAGGCAGAACTATGTATCATCAGCTATTATCTTCTAGGTCCTGCTTTTTTTTTTTTTTTTTTTTTGAGACAAAAAGAGTCTCGCTTTTGTTGCCCGGGCTAGAGTGAGTGCCGTGGCATCAGCCTAGCTCACAGCAACCTCAAACTCCTGGGCTCAAGCGATCCTCCTGCCTCAGCGTCCCAAGTAGCTGGGACTATAAGTGTGAGCCACCACGCCTGGCTAATTTTTTATTTCTGTTTTTAGTTGACTTGCTAATTTTTTCTATTTTTAGTAGAGACAGGGGTCT